TGTAAATATTCCTGGGCTTCCAGCAGTCGTTTTGTTGTTTTCATAATTGTACAACTTAGAACAGACCGAATTAATAAACAACCTTAGACACACGTTTGTGCTGTTGTCAGTGGCCTCAGTGTTGTACCCAAGTCTCTTGGGTGTCTGTGTCGGAGCAGTTCTTGTCCTGTGGGTGCCAGCCCAGGGTGGTTTGGGGCCACGCATGGGGGTAGCACTGAGGGCTGAGCAGCTGCTCTGGTTGAAGCTGCTCTTTCTTGCAGCTAGTCATAATGACCCAAATATTGAATATTATTATTTTGAGACAAACTAATTTATGGGTAAAAATGCATCCAGGTGCTCTGTTGAAGGCAGCACAAGGGTCTGCAGGCACTGCGGGTGTGTTCTCCACATGATGGTGTGTGAGAAAAGCTGATTTTTACCCCCACTAATATACATCTGCAAGGACTGTGCCCTGGGGACTGCCAGGACCCGAATGTACTCACAGTAACCACTGAGATCCCTTTTTTGCAGCATGGCAGCGAGTGATTCCAGGGGCCTGTTTCAGCAGCCATAGCTTGTAGCATTTACCCAGCGAAGACCTGGGGCTTGCCAGGAACTAGGACATGTCATTATGTAAAATTAGAGCAAGAAATCTAGACATTTAAATACAGGTTAAAGTTCAGATTTTCATGTCAAGTAAAATCTGGCTGATGTAAAATACTAAATACACCAGGGATTGCTAAATTTATACTGTATGTTCCATTTCTAATAACTTGGCAAGTCAGGTTTTCAGGCTGGCACTGAACTACATGGAGCTGGTTTAATGGTTTGAAAGACTGTTGGGTTTTATCCCTCACAGCTACAGCCCTGGCTGGGACCTGGGACCGACGCCTCAGCAGAGGCCACAGGCCCAGGGCAGAATTAACACCTGAGCTGCACTGCAGCTCAGTGAGCCCCTTGCCTTCCCCCTCAAATGGTGGCAGGTTTTTTGAGGAAAGAAGGCCACTACTTTTTGTAGTTTAGAGGTTTATTCAGATCCTGACATACCAAGGGGCACTTCCCGCTGACCCTGGTTGGGTGGACTTTTACAAGCTGAGGCAGGATCTGAGGAACTGAAGAATGGATTCCACTCCTGCCTGGTACCCGGAGAATGCGATGAAAACAATTCAGCCTGCGTCTGGGAGAAGCACCTTCCTGAGAATTCCTGGACTCCTGCCGTTTGTGGTGGATCACACTTCCAAATCTGCACCCAACTTCCAGCAGCATTTCCTGAATGGGGAAGGGCCTTTGGGGAAATCTTTTTGAGAATTGTGTCCATCAAAGAAAATTAAAAGGCTGAGGAAGGAATGGATCCACTGCCCTCCAGGGAGTAAAAGTATGAAAACAAAAAATTATTGGTCAATCAACCTTTGCACAGAAATCTGCCGTGAGAGAAGCACGGCACTTTGCAGGGAAACTCTCCAAGCCTTCAGAGAAGACCAATAGAACATTTTTCTAGCTAGTGCTTGTTTTTGCAGTGAGAGTGTGTCAGGCACTTAAACAGCTCTTCAGCTAAAACGCTGACACCTCGGAGGGAGCTGCAGAGTGTGCTTTGTTCTTGTCATAGTCACAGCTTACACAGCTGGAGCCTCTAAATCTTTCCTTATTAGTGAGTCATACCTGACACTCACCAGATTTAAGAACTTCTTAGTACATCATGAAGCAACGAATAAATAACACAGGCTCCACCTTCTTCGACTTATTTCAGGCGCTATCTTATTTTCTTGTTATTTCTGATGTCACACCCGAACCACCTCCTTCTCCGTTCTCACACGTTTTCTGTTACATGACAGAAGCCAAGCCTATGTAGATATAGACATCTATAGATAGATATGTATATACACACACAGAGACCTGTGTGGAAGAAGCTGATCCCTGGCAGTCCGATGTTGCTCTGATGACAATTTCATGCACAGGGGTCAGTGAGGGGACCTGCTGTGGGAGTGAGGGGACCTGCTGTGGGTGTGAGGGGACCTGCTGTGGGTGTGAG